TAATGGGGGGGGTTACCCCCTGACACCCGACCCCCCCCCAGCCCATCCATCCCCTCAACACCCCCCCGAAAGGCCACGTACGGAGGGCCCAAAGTTCGTACGTACGGGTCGTACGGGCGCCGGGGGGCCCGTACGGACGGGCCGTATTCGTACGACCGTATACACTGAATGCAATCGATGCGTCCCATCACCGTCCCCGAGCTTCACCGATAGCACCCAGAGCAGCCCCCGGCCAAGTAGTGGGTGGTGATGTAGTTAATACAGGCGTATGCTACATGTGTCACCAACCAGGCCACATAGCCCAGGACTGCCCCAACCGATCGATAGAAGCCCGGATAGGAGCAGCCCTCGCAGCAGCACCACCCGTGGCCAACGGACCAAGAAGGGTAGGTACGATGGTGGAAGAGCCGAGGGAGGATAAAGTGTGTTAATCACTACAGAGGAAACTGCGGAGCTTATCCCGCTTAATCAATACATCTCACTGGGTTACCCGGGCCTGGGAATGATCGGAATCATCCGTTCCGCGAATGAACAACGTGAAATAATGGAATGAAGACCATCTCCTGGGGAAATGGAGTCTGGCGGCCCTATTTTCGTCACGGGAGAGATTGATATTATGAACATCATCCGAGCACTGGACCACCGAATTCCCTTACCCATCGGACATTTGTTGTCCATATCGGAGCATACAAACGAATGAATGCCACAACATTCCAAGGCAAACCGGAAGCGGTTTGCTCTTGCCAAGCTAGCAACCATCAAAGGGAAAACTCCCATCCGAGAAGACAAACCTGACATCCCCAACACCTCGGATCCAATACGATTGGGACTAATCTAAAAAGACGACCATTTTTTGCATATCAAGGCTATTCCGTGGAAATCCACGGAATGTGTTGTAGAAGTCCGGGGAATCCTGTACAATGCTATCATCGACTTAGGGGCCGCTGTTTTAGTCGTTTCTCTAAGGGTGGTGGAATGAGCAGGAAAAAGGAAATATTTGATCCCGTTAGTGGAAGGGGACCACCTTGTCTCCGCTGATGACGAGAAAATTAAGGTGGTGGGAATAATAACGAACGTCGCGTTCCGATTAGGAAAAGTCGATGCTTTGGGGGATGTCGTAGTATAGGATGTAAATACATACGACATCCTTATGGGACTGCCGGCCCTCACTGCGCTACGGGTCAACTAAGATTTCGAAAAGCGATCGATTATCCTCCGGAATACGGATGGAAAATCGTACGTCATTTCAATGTGTCTAACACTCTGAACCGGGCTACCTGCAACTCGGAAAACCCTCCCAGAAGTCGGGGAATTACTCCACCGTCCACTTGATCACCTGGAAAGAACCCACTAACAAGGAAAAAGGACCCGAGGCTTCGCCCAATGCTTCTAACACGAGGAGGAAACGGACCCTGTGATCGTGGCTATGGCGCACTGATTCACTACCCAGTCCGACAAAAAACAACGGGAACGTTCGTCCTCACAGAAAGGTACCTAATGGACGCGGGCTCTAAACCTGGGAGAACCATTGGTACAAGTATCCCGGATGAGTGATTCTTGGGAACCCCCTCAAACCCTCTATGAAGTTACCACTCCGCTCCT